GCGACCACATGAGCCTTTTTTACCTATAGGCTGAGACCTCCTTACAGAAGGCTGGCAATCTCGCCTTGGGGGAGATTTCGAAGCTCATTATTTTTTCTCTTTAGATGCGGTCGCCTCACTTCTGCTCATTAGGCTCCTTTCCCTACATCATCGCCTTTCTTTAATGTGGCTGGTCTATTAAATAGCCCTCACCTGGCAAAGCCCCCCAGTGTCCCGAATGCGGCTCTGCACGCCCGCTTTCAAGACTTTGGACGTTGCTTTAATAAGAGTGGCACAGGCACCAGCATTCCGCATTTCCTTGAGCCACAGATCCTCTCTGTAGAGAGAGTGGGGGTGGGGTGCCACAGAACTCACAGCACATGCCGCTTAGCTTTCAGAGGTTGCTGAAGGCTTTCACAGAAACGGAATGAGGTACACCAGAGGAACGGCTCTGAGCAGAAATATCGGCATCCCATTTATTCAGCGCTACCAAATATCAAAAGGCAATTGATTAAATATTGATCTGACAACTGCTTGAAAAGGAGCAGGTGCTTCTCACAATCTGGCAAGAAAACAGGGTCAGGAACACCAAATGTGGGTTCTGCAAAAGCATGTTTGCAAAATCTCCGTGTCTTCTTGCCATGATTAAAAGGCTTGTTAGTCATGGGTGAAATCCTATAGAGGGTATGTGCTTGAGTGTCACTTCGTATTAAGCTGCGTGAAATTCATGTTTCTTCTTTAGTTAGAATCCCTCAAACTGACCCAACCAGTGCAGTTGCCTTTGTGGTTCAGATGAGCTTCTTTGGACTCTTTCTCAAGGTCAGCCCTTGAACTGAAACACATCTTAAAAGACAAATGTTTGAGTCTTTGTTTGTTTCCAAGCACAGAAATCCAGTTGAACTCGTTCAAGTAAAAACTGCCTGATTAAAACACACGAACGTGTGTGTGTGTGTGTGTATGTAGACTGTATATGAATGCATTTATCAATGTTCTAAAGCTGAGAGGTCTCCAGAAAACAACTGTCCTGCTCTCCTCCTCCCTTTTCCTGCTCTTAAGCCTATGTAAGGTTCTCATTCTTAACATCTCTCTGCCCAAACATGGGTTTTTCTTCTCTCATGCTATAGCCCCGGATCCTCTTAGCTCAGCTGTAACTGGCTTGGCTTTGGCTTGGTTTGTCCTGGCACTGACTCCTGCCGCCTAATCAAAGTCTTTTTTTTTTTTTAACATTGCTGTAGGCTAGACAGCAGTCCTAAAATGCTTGTCATTGCCCTTGTATATATAAAGTTGGCCATAGTTATTCATATTTTCATCACTTCAGTTGAGATCCGTGCATTCATTGCTGGTACTACATATGTTAAATTGAATTGTTGTTTAAAATGTCTTCAGAAAGATTATAGTACGATTTAGCATTGAAATGAAAACATATCATGTACACAGAAAGGCATGTAAACCAAGCAATGGGACATAAATTGGATATTAGCAAAGCAAATATTAATCATCGGAGGAATGGCAGCAACTTCATATTTTCTTGTGAAGAAACAGCAAAGCACTTTATAAGACCCAAGAAAGGAAGGCACCTACAAGTAGCTGAAGCTGTGTTGTATTTTGCTTCCGACATACGAACAAAAGGATTGCCTTATTTCATGTCCAACAGTGCAATTGAAAGCAGAGAAATTGCCAAATCCTTTAGAATAGACAAAGGAAATTTCAAAGCCACAAGAAGCTGATGTGACCAATTCATGTGTCAAGCAGGACCATTGTTCAGACAGCAAACATCTGTTTATCATAAACTGCTCAAATTTTACCAACATTTGTTTCAACTGAAGGGAAAATAACACTATTAATTTGGTCAAATGGCAAAGCACCCCAGCATCTAAACTTGCCTGATAGGAATGAGCATCTTCAAAGAAAATCCTGGAAACATCAGGAGAGCACTCTTTCAAGAAATTCCATATCATTGATGTTTTGGGGGGCATAGAGAAAGATCTCTGTCTGCCTCCTAAGTATCTCTCCCACCCATCACATGTTTCCCAACCCCTTATTTGCTGTCAGAATCCGTATCATCATCATGAACTGTATCTAGCTCCAGGTTCCCACACTCTAGAGTAATATTCTTAAAATCCAAATCTAATCACTTAATGTTTGTACTTAAAATTTCTAAATGAGTCATTACTACTTTCAATTAAAAATCCACACTCAAGAACAGCGTGCACAAGACCTTTCACGATGGACTCCCTGTTCACCTTTCTTGTCTCATCTCTTAGTTCTCCTCCCCTAGATCTCTTCATGTCTCCTCTTCAGCTATGAACAGACACAGTAGTTCCTGCCACACCTTGTACAGTTGTTTACTTTGTCAAACATACACTCTTACCTCTTTATTCATCTAGTAAAAATCTACCTGGCCTACAAAGTTCAGTTTGGGTAGCTTTTACCTAAGTATGCCCTGTTTGATTTCCAGGTGGCCATCCCTCAATATTTGGAGACACCATGTGAAATTGCTTCTTAACTTGTCTCTCTCACTAGATGTGAGGTTCATCAGAGGCAGTAACCTGTCTCATTCATCTATCTAAGTACAGTGTCTACTACAGTACCTGACACATCCTAAACCACCCAATACATATTTGTTGAAAGAACATTTTCTTTTTATATAATCAAAATGGTAATATAAAAACCGTATGGTTTTATTTATAACTTGGGCATTAAAGGATAGTTCGGAACTCCACAGACAACAGCAAACCCCATGACTAAACCTAGGAGGTAAAGCAGTCAGAAACATTTTTCAGTGTTTATCTGAAGATCTGGTATTGGCAAACAAACATAGAGGGCTGAATTGAGAAAGATTTGATGTCTTACCAACCACAAAAACCTGTAGGTGGAATGTAATTGTGTTATTTATGTATCTATCTTTATTTATATATTGTACTCCTAATAAAGCCAGGAAAAATTGAAAGTACTTTTTATAAACACATTTCACATAATAAATTAACCTAAAAAATGTCAAAAGCAAGTCAGGGGAAAATAAAGGCATGGAAATAAAGTCAAAATGATGTCTTTCATTTTTAATAAGCTACAAAAAGACCTATCAGTCAGGTGGAGGCAACTCCAAAACTCTCAGATGGGGAGAAGTAGCCACATAAAAAGAAGAAGAAGAATGCTGATAACGGCCTTCATGCTATATATGCCTGAAAACCAAAATCTCAAAGACATGGAGAGACAAGCATTAAGAAAGGTGGTTGAAAAAATTTGAAATTAGGAAAGAAATACATGAAATAAAACTGATGCTTTGATAGGAAAACAACATTAATATTAATATATTAGTATATCTAAGATCCTTAAAGAGATAAAAAAAGAAATAACATGGTAGAGGAGAGAAACAGATTTTTATGAAATCCAAGTAGGCAAAATGGCTAAAATTAAATAAGAACAAGTTTTAATGGAAAAGAACAATTTAGCAATCTTGGAAACAAAAATATAATTATGAAAATAAAGCAATAAACAAATCAACCATAAGGCAGTTTCTAGATTGGACTTAATTAAAGAGAAAATTAGTGAATTGAAAGATAGTCTTGTGAAACTTACAAAACACAATGAGATAAAAGCATACAATGAAAGAGCACTTAGAATGAGACTAACAAAATGTTCTACATACATCTATAATAGTCCAGAGCACAATTTAGAGAAGGACAGAAAGCATTTGTATTTATTAAAATTCATGCCAAATTCCAAGTAGTAGGAATAAAAGCAAATCCAAACTTCCATTGTAATAAGATTTCAGAACATCACGGACAAAGAGAAAACTTTTTAAAGTTGCTAGAATGAAAAAATAAATAATCTTCAAAGAAAAAAGTATTAAATTTACAACAGATTTTTCATTTATAATAGATGCCAGAGACAGTGAAATATTCAAACTGCTAAGGGAAAATAATTTGTCAACCTGGATCTCTCAGCTGAAATGTCATTCAACAGTATGGAAAATAAAGACATTTTCAAAAATAAAATAATCATAGGTATTTAGTAAATGAACTAAAGTCGAAAAAAATGAACTCAAGGAGAAGGAATGAGCTATCAGAAACAACGGTGAACCAAAAAATTTATATATAATATTAGGATGGCAAATTCAATTAACTATTACCCATTTAAATAGTTACATAATTTTAAAAGAAATTAAGTAATTTAAAAACAATGGAACTTAAATTCTAGATAGAGTAATAAGTAAAATAGAAAGATTATAAGAAAATCACCAGTTGTTTGAGGGGGAGATAATAGAGGTATTAAATTGGATTAGGCTTTGAAGAGGCATTTATAATTGAAGAATGCATTGGAAAATATAAGGCTAAATAGGAAAACATGACAAAACCAATATGTATCTTCCTAACTAGCAGGTGGAGAGGGGAATTTTTTCAATCCCTCAAAACACCAGAAAAACCAAAGTGTGGTAAACAGAAAACACAAAATAAGATGATAAAAATAAGTTAAAAATACCATTAATGCAGAATTACATATACAACACAGTATTTATATGTTTTAAAACTCTAGGAAAGGAAGGATAGAAAGGGATGGAAGTGGGGTACCTAAAGGACTTTGACTACACAATTCATTTCTTTAAAAAATTATGTGACAAGTGTGACAAGAGGTTAATATTTCATAAATCTGGGTGATAGTTTCACAGCTATAGTTACCTTGGCAGCTGAAGTACCAAAATAACTATATTAGTCTATACCAAATAGACCATAACCTCCAATTTAATATATTTTTAAAAGATTTTCGGTCACATCAAATATATACGCTCTCAAATGAAATAGTAAAAGTTCTGCTTATATTTAATTTTCTGATAAAGTTACATGCACATATTTAAAACTTTGTTTTATATAAAACAAAATATTAATTTTGAATTATTGTCCTTTTTCTTATTAAGCAATTGTATTTAAACTCATCATTAATCTTTGACACCAGTGACTTTATTAGTAATCATACAGACATGTTTGAACCATCCATACTTTTATCTATGTATGATGCTGCCACTGGAAATATTTGAAGCTTCAAGTTCCCATTCTCACATTAAGGCAATTTTTTAGAAAATTCATCCTTTAGGGTTATATTCATTATCTGCAAAAGTAGACCTTTATTGCACTGCTTTTAAAAGTGATCCTTAAAAAATGAGCTTATATCAACATCTAACTCTTGCAACTGTGAGTCTTATGTCCCCAGGCATAATGACTAAATTTACATTAAATTTCTTTGCTTCCTTTTTAATCTATTCTGTCAGATGATCACCCCAAACTAGCATTGATTGAAATCATTTCTGCCTAATGAGTCTTGACCAAACACTTACTTTGTTGATCAAAACAAATATAATAGAGTAAATCAAAGTAGGGGAGACTGAAATGGCAATGAGAATTGGTTTATTTCTGGTATAACCTTATAGTCAGCCCTTTTTTTGGTATTTCAAACCCACAGGAATGTATAACAAATTGTATAAAATGAATTTATGTACATCCATCTCCCAGAAATGATGCCTGTTCTGAGCAATAATTTTGGTTTTTTTTATTTTTTAAAAAGTGGCCGCTAGTTAAAAACCCGGGAAATAGTTCAACAGAAAACAATTAAAAAAAAAAATCCTCTGAGTCTCAGATGGAAGAAAATGAACTGGCTTGGGACCTCAGGATTTGAAGAACAACACTGTGGTAAGCAGTTCCCTGGGTTTTCCGTTTTTCAATTTTTTATTGTTTACCAGGAAGAGGCAAAGCCAGCAGAAACTCAGCAGGGAGACCCATGCCCAGTGGCAGTAGTAGGCCAATCTACTCGCAGCAGTGACACAAAGAGAGCTCAGGAAGTCTATTCATTCCTTGACCCATAACAAGCAATAGCAGTGGGCAAAAGTGGGTCCTGAGTTAGACGATCTGGACTCAGTCAAAGTCAACCAAAGTGATCTGCATCAGCATTCCCTTGGTTAAATTTAGGCTCCTTTCTTTACAGACACATCACACTCAAGATTCCTCAGAAATACTGAAAGTCCATACATTGGCTTAATTGAGAAAATAAGGGGCAGGAGCCTGATCCTAAGATAAAGGAACAGGTTGAAGGAATCCAAACAGTACTTAAATTATCTACCTTAAAAAAAATAAAAAACTGGGCCCATTTGAGTAGACTAGGCTACTATCCTTCTAGGGGTGAGCCACCTTTTCCCAGGGTTTCCACCCCCTCAAGAGAAGAATACGTGTTTCCTGTTCCAGGAAATACGATACCTCTCCCTCTGGAGGACCACACTCTATTTCTTTAAGTGTGTACCTTTTAATTTCTGCCTAATAAAACCCTTCCCGTGCCTCTTATTGACCAGTCTTGAAAATTCTTTTTCCCCAACAGCAATCAGCAAACCTGTAAAATTATTCTACAGGAGGGTGGGTTAGGTTCCCTATCTCAGCTTCAGGAACCTCCTTTAGACCCTATCCAGTGAGAAGCTCATACCCCATACCAGTCAGCAACAGATACTTCATGCAAGTATCAATGGCAACAACAGGTTCCATGTTTCCCAGCCGTTGGCCTTGTGGCCAGTGCTAGTGTCTCCAGATCTTCCACCTAATGTCAAAAGGCCATCCAGACTCTGTGGCTCTTGGTCCTTCACTAAGTGGCAAAAGGTATACAGGAGGGCTCTTCGTTCCTCAAGAGGCACCTATGGAAATAGAATGAGAAGCCAGTGTCACAAGGTGACTGTTAACATGCCAGGGGAAATGTTCTTCTTGTAGGTCTGGAATCCCCCACTCCCCATTTAACATCACTGAGAAGCCCAGGGAAATACCTTCCACCCTTGAAAGTGGCACCAGCAAGGATCTAACAGAAGCTCAAACAGAGCCAAGTGAATAAAGCAGAGCAGAATATTATCACAAAGATTCATACAACTAAATTGTCATTGGAACTACAGCCCACAAAAGTAAAAAAGAACCTACAAGCTAAATGAAAACCAGGAAAATGACTACCGAAAGGAAGATTTAAATAGTCTCCTAAATAAAACCTTAAATGTCCAAGATACAGTTCAAAATTATTTATTATACTAAGAACCAGGAAAATCACAGCTTGAACCACAAAGATAATCAACTGATGCCAGTAACAAGATGAGTCAGATTTTAGAATATCTGACAAAGAATTTAAAGCAGCCACCATAAGCTAGCATCAGCAAATAATTATGAATTTGTTTGAAATAAATAAAAATGACCACAGTAAGGAAAAGAGATTTAACAAAAATACCAAATGGAAATTACAAAACTGAAATACAATAATTAAAAATTTAAAAGCCCTCACCAGATGGACTGGGAGTATAATGGAAATGACTGGAGAGAGAATTGTTAAGTTTGATTTTAAAAGTAATAAAATTTATTTAATCTGAATGACAATAATTACACTGTAAAAAAAAAAAAAGAACAGAAAATTAGTGACCTTTGGGGTAACAATGCAACAAAAACAAAATATCTAGATTCATATCATCAGAGTTCCAGAAGGATAGAAGAAAGATTGTAGGACCTAACAAATATAAGCTTCTTCACTTTGAAGAAATAATGGTTGAAAAATCCTCAAATTTGGCAAAACACCTAAACATGCAGATTCAACCTGAGTAAATCCCAAAGAGATAAACTCAAATAAATTTATATAAAGACAAATAATAATTAAACACCTGAAAATTAAAGCAAAGCAAAAAAGTCTTAAAATTTACCAGAGAGAAACAGTGTACTGCCTAAAGGGTACATCAGTTCAAACAACAGCTGATTTCTCACTGAACACCATTTAGGCCAAGTAGAAGTGGCATAAATTTTTTCAAGTGCTGAAGGAAAAGAACTGTCAGCTGTGAATTCTAAATCTGGTGAAGCTATACTTCAGGAATGAAGAAGAAATAAAGACATTCTTAGACAAAGGAAAAGTAAAAGCATGTATTCCTAGCAAACTTACCCTGAAAGAATGGCTAACGGAAACTTTCTGAGTGGAAAGGAAACTACAAAAGAAAGATGCAAACTTCAGAAAGAAAATAGAATAAGGCAGTGTGAAAGAATAAGGGCAAATGTAAGTAAGAGTATACTCTTTCTCATGAGTTTCTTTAATTGTATTTGACGGTTGAAGAAAAAATCCTAACAGCATCTTGTGTTAATGAATACACAGAAAATACCTGAGACAATCATACTTCAAAAGTGAGAAGGGTAAAGGGACATAAAAAGAAGACTGCAATCCTTAATTCATAGCAATAAAACACTGAACCCAGTAGAGTATAATAACTTACCTATGTGTATTATGATACCTAGAGCAGGCACTAAGAAAATTATTCAAGTTATACACTAAAAATTAATTAAAGTAAAATGGAATCATAAAATATATTCAAGTAACACAGAGAAAGGCAAGAACAGAGAAACAAAGAAATAGGAAACAGAAAAAAAACCAGAAAGCAAATAATAAAATGGAAGACTTAAATCTATAGATTGATAGTTACTTTAAATGGTAATGGTCTGAATACACCAGTCAAAAGATATGATTCTATAGATAAAATGTCATGACTCAACTATATATTTTTTAAAATAATCTCATGTCAAACACAATGACATAGGTACATTGAACACAAAGGAATAAATGCAAACATTAACTTTTAAAAAATAAACTTAGTTGTAATATCAGACAGAGTATGCGTCAGAGCAAAAACATTTTTACTAGGAAGAAAGAGGTGCATCACATTATTACAGAAAGATCAATTCCCCAAGAAGACGCAGAGCTTCAAAAGACACACAAAAAAACTGATAAAGCTGAAGGAAAAAATTGACGAATATACAATCATAGTTGGAAATTCTAATACTAAATTCTTTGCAATTGATAGAACAACTAGACAAAAAGCCAAGACAGAGAAGAACTGAAGAGCACCATCGACCAACAGGATCAATTGACATTTAGAGAACATCAGCAGAATGCAAATTCTTTTCAAGCAACCATGGAACATTCATCAAGATAGATTATATTATGGATCATAAAATGAACCTCTAAACATTTCTAAGTATTGAAATCATGCAGAGTATGTTATTCAAGTACAGCAATCAAAGCAAAAGTCATTAAGACAATTTTCAACAATTAGAAATTGTGCAACATACTTTTAAGCAATCCATGGACTCAAGAGCAAATATCAAAGAAAACTTAAAAATACATAGAAAACATTAAAATGAAAGTGCAACATCTCAAAATTTGTGGGATGCAGCTAAAGCATTTCTGAAAGGGAACCATATAACACTAAATGCATACATTTAGAAAACCAGAAGGTCTCAAATCACCGATATCAGTTTCTACCTCAAAAATCAAGAGAAATAAGAGCAAAATAAAGTCAAAGTAGGCAGATGAGAGTAAATAATAAAAAAATAAGAGCAGAAATAAATGAAATTGAGAACACACAAAATAGCCAATGAAACAAAAAGCTGGTTTTTGATGAAGCAATAAAATCAATAAACCCCTAGCAAAACTGACATACAAAGAGAAAAGGTACAAATCACAAATATCAAGAAGGGAAGAGATGTCACTAAACATCCTACAGCTATTAAAAAGGAAAATGAAGGAATACAAGGAATAACTTTATACTCATACATTTGACAACTTGGAAGAAAAGAACCAGTTTCTCAAACACTATGAATTGGCAAACCATAATCAAGGTGAAATAGGCACCTGATATACTACTATAATCACTGAATACATTAAAATTGTAATGTAAAGTTCTCCAAAAAGAAATATCCAAGTTCAAATAGATGGATACTTTTACCAAACACTTAAAATAATTACTGTCAATTTTACCCAATCTTTCCCAGAAAGTAGAAGAGGCAGTACATCTCAACTCATTTTATGAGGCCATTTTATATTTATACTAAGAGTAGAAAAACACAATACAAAAAACTACATGCCAATATGACCCCATGAACTTAGAAACAAAAATTCTCAATAAAACATTACCAAATCTAGGGCCAGGGATTTAGCTTAGTGGTTCAGCTGCCTGCCTCCCAAGTACAAGGTTCCGAGTTCGATTCCTGGTACCCAAAAGCAAAAAAGACAAAAAAAATTTGCCAAATCTAAATCCAATAATATGTACAAATAATTACATGACAGGATCAAGTGGAATTTATTCTAGCTATGCATATTCTAGTTATGTGACATTTAAAAATCAATCAATGCTACCCACCACATCAAGTAAAAAATAAAAAGTATGTCAGAAGAATTAGAAAAACAAACACTTGAAAATGAAGCATTTTTCATGATAAAAATTCTCAGGAAGTTATAAATAGAAGAGAACAGTAATAAAGAGTATATACAAGAAATCCAGAGCTAGCATCAAAATTACTGGTGAAAGACCATTCTCTCTTTAAGATTGGGAACAAAGTAAGAATGTTCATTTTCATCACTCATAGTGGCTAGATTATAGAAAGTTCTTGTTAGTGAAATATTCAAGGAAAAGAAAAGAAAGGCATAAAGATCAAAAAGAAAAATTCCCCCACTTGCAGATGATGTGATTGTGTATACAGAAAATTCCACTGCATATAGCAGAAAAATATTCTAGAACTAAGAAATGAGTTCAGTAAGGTTGCAGGATATGTGATCCATACATTTTATATACAAACAATGACCATGGGGAAAACAAAATTAAAACATAATATCGTTTCACTTGTCCATTTTTTGACAAGGTCCTTTATTTTGGGGGATCTAACTTTTTTGAGTTATTTATGTATTCTAGATACTTGTCCTGAAGCTGAGGAATAGCTGTTATAATTTTTTCCCATTCTGCAGGTTGTCTTTTCACTCTGTTGGTTGCTTCTCTTGCTGTGCAGAAGCATTTTAATCTGATATGATCTGATTTGTTTATTGGAACTATTTCCTCATAAATATCACATCACTTCTTTTATATGAGAAAAGAAAAATATAAAAAGGAGCAAAATAAGAGATAGGTTATAGGAAGTAGGGGATAGATGTTTCTGAAATGGGAAGGGGATCAAAAGATGGTAGGATGGGGAGGGAGGAGAGGGAAAGAGGATAAAGAAAAGAATTAAGGCAGGCCACCATAGCACCGCTCCCAGGGCAGAGGAGGTGAGCCAATCTCAGTGCCCAGGAGGAGGCTCCCGGCCTGCCATAGCATAGCTCCCAGCGCAGAGGAGGCGAGCCATGCGGGCACCAGCAGCACCCCCCACCCCCGTGAAAATGAGAAGACACATAAACAAGCCTCAAAAACAGACTTCCAGATCACCTACAGCAACCCCAAAGGGAAA